TATTGGGAATCATTATAATACTAAAAATTGTATGGTTAACGAGATGAAACAACGCAGAAGACCACATTGAAGTGACAACATATTTTTGAGAGATGAGTAAAATTTTTAAAACATAAAAAGAGAGTTTCTGAAAGGTATGGGTGATATTACTGGTCATTAAACGATTTATTATTTTTCCTCCTGCATATTTAGCATTTAGCTTTCAAAAGTTCTTAAAATGAAATATAAGACTGACTGAAGAAAATACCTTGTCGTACCTAGAAATACGTAATAAATATGTTTATTTTCCGATATTATGAGTCGATAATAAAAATTATCATATTTTATTAATAAGACAAGGTCTTTTGTTTATACTTTAGAACTGATAGTTTGGGACTATTTTTTTGAAATATTAAGTACAAGAAAACTCTTACTATTATTGGAAATCATTATAATACCAAAGTTTATGGTTAACAAGACAAAACAACACAGAAGACCCCATTGAAATGACAACATATTTTTGAGAGATAAGTAAAGTTTTCAAAACATGAAAAGGAAGTTTCTGAGAGGTATGTGAGATTTTACTGCTAATTGAACAATTTTATCAATAAAATTTATTATTTTAACTTTGAAAAGTTCCTAAAGCAGAAGTACCATATTTAGTAGAATACCGTAATGTGGGGTTATTTTAAAACGCATTTTTGGGTTTTCGTTTTTTTGCAATCTTTAAATTGCGATATAGAGCTATGAATATTGTACAATATAAATATATGCACAACTCTTTTTTAGTGAAGCAAGTAAATTATTATGCTAAATGATAAGAAAAATTTGAAAAAAAATGCTTCCATGCTACCAGCTTGGGTGGAGTAACGTGGGGACACTAAATTTATCAAATTAAAATTGACAAAAACCATATTTCAGCATAGTAAACCATCTTCATTTCGAATATAAAAACTATTCATTAAATCTAAGAATTTTCCATTTTCAATTATTATCTCTTTATTTATTCTTAAAACTACATCGAGAAAAAAATTCTGTTAAATTTACCATACAGTAGATAATAACATTTCTGATAAAAAAAATTGTAGTTAAAAAATCAAAATATACGGTATTTAAACCATTTATTTGATAATTTTTCCGTTGATATGGTAATGGTTTACTGTAAATTCTGGTTCTCAATATTACAGTTTTAATAATCACACATTTATTTAAAAAATGTAAATTCTAAAAGTAGATTTGACCGATTAATAGGTTTTCATACCATGTTCTAAGGTATCATGATAAAATTACCAAATATCACATATTATAAAACCATATTTCATTGTTAATTTTACCAAAATCATTACCAAGGAACTTCAAAAAAATTACCGAGCTTTTTGGTGTTTTCACAGAGCCAGAAATTTGGTAAATTTTAACATACTCTTCACCATATATTTTGCATACTTTTTTTCTCAATTTGGCATAGTAAACTTTCTTGATTTCAATGTACGAACATTTTTTAATGATTTTAGAAATGTTTTAATTTGCAATTATTATTTTTATTTTCATTCATTTTCTGATGATTATTATTAATTGCATTTCTATTATTTAAATTTCAACATCAAGCAAATAATTTTTTTTGTTATAATTAGGAACTTTTTTTATCTAATATTTCTGGTACCGTCAAAATCGTCTGATTCTACAATCCCCAATATATTTCCTTTCACAAAAATTGACGCGTCTTCACTATAAGTAATATCTTCAATCATCCTCTAACAAGGGAAACTAGGGAAGTGTGACTCGCCAATTTTGAAATAAACTAGTGGGATGTATGCCTTATGAGGAATAATTTTAGGGGGCAACATTCGTTTCGGCCCATAGAGGGTCCTATGAGAGATAAAAAATAATTAAGTGTGTAGAAAAATCGGTAATTCATTACTTCAATGCAGACTATTAGTTATTGTAATTATCTTATACTCCAATTAATTTTATGGTACTTTCACGTACTATATAATGCATATTTATTGTCAAAATTGATTTCGAAAATTTTATATATCTGTAGTCTTTCAGAAAAAAAAATAAAAAAAATTGGCATTAAATTTTTTTTCATATTGTTAGATCTTACAAAAAAATCTGAAATAATTTATGTGATTGCATAAAATTAAATTGCATGCATAAAAATGTTTTCAAATTTGTTTGGCGGGAAATTTGAACTTAAAAAAATATTTCAGTTTTCAATGATTTTCTTTTTTTCTTGAAAGGTCAACCGTACTATATAAACAAAATTTGTAAGTATTTGTCGCTTTAATAGACACATTTTTTTTCTTAATTTTTTTTATTGCACAACTGGTAAAAAAATGAAAAAAAAAATAAGTTTCAAAAAAATTTAAATTTTTTGCCAAAAAATTAAAATATTATTAAAAAAAATTGTCCTGTGAATTGTTCAATATTTTGTCAAAACATTGCTATTTTTGAAATATTATTCATACAATTATCTTTATACCTGATATCCTAGCTAATGCCAACTTTTAAAGTTAAATATTTCAAAAATTAGCTAGGATATCAGATATAAAAATAATATTATAAAGATAGCAATGTTTTGACAAAATATTGAACAATTCACAGGACATAGATATCAACGGATTTTCCACTTAAAGTGACATATCACTTCAAATTTTGTGTATACAGTACAGTTGATCTTTTATGAAAAAAATCGAATTGAAATATTAAACATTTTTTAAGTTCAAATTTCCCGCCAAACAAATTTGAAAACATTTTTATAAATGCAATTTAATTTTATGCAATCACATAAATTATTTCAGATTTTTTTGCAAGATCTAACAATATGAAAAAAAAAATTTTTTTTTTTAAATCACATTTTTGGATACACATTAAATATGAAAAAATTCCATCAGTTTGGGAAAATGCGTATTATATTTCGACTCTCATATAAATGAAATTTATTACTGTTTACTAGTTTTAATATTGGAAAATTTTTTGAAAAAAAAAATTTAAAAAATTTGATGCCAAATTTTTTTTTTTTAAAAATGCCAATTTTTTTTATTTTTTTTTCTGAAAAACTACAGATATATAAAATTTTCGAAATCAATTTTGACAATAAATATGCATTATATAGTACGTGAAAGTACCACAAAATTAATTGGAGTATGAGATAATTACAATAACTAATAGTCTGCATTGAAGTAATGAAATACCGATTTTTCTACATACTTAATTATTTTTTATCTCTCATAGGACCCTCTATGGGCCGAAACGAATGTTGCCCCCTAAAATTATTCTTCATAAGGCATACATCCTACTAGTTTATTTCAAAATTGACGAGTCACACTTCCCTAGTTTCCCTTGTAAGTGCCAAGTTTGTTGAAATACTGTGTAACAACAATGTTTATTAGTTCTTTTCATCTTTGCATCCGGGTATTTCATTTATTTCAACCCTTTTCACTGATATTGCTATACCTGAAAGAGCACTTCCCCTTTCAGTTTGAAAACTTTGTTTTTACTGTCTTCATTATTGATGCATAACCAAATATTGGCTCAAATTCATCACTCTAACTGCAGTAATATTGATTATAATAGCGTAAAAATAAAGTAAAAGGCATGAAGGTTTAAATGTTAATTTTTTTTAGAAAAAAACACGTTAATTATACTGAGAATCTGTGTGTTAACTTATTATATAGATAATAATAACGCGAATATATGCTTCAGATAAGATTTGACAAAGTTCATCGCAGTCAGAAAAAGAAATGAAAAAAGAAAGTTATAACAGAAGTGTCAGCTATTTCGCAACTTAATACTTCCTCTGAGAATTAAAAAAAAAAATCCGGAAAAAAGTTTAATTTTATTTTTGCCATCACTGGAAGTCAATTAACTCCAGAGTACTCTAGTTTTTACTCCGTTAAATATTTATATGAGATTCACCACAGTATATTTTTTTATCGGCATTTGTGATAAGCATTCAAAAAATATGCATTAAGGGTGGTCAAACTGAAATACCTTGAATATGCCATAAGGTGTAAAATACGGCTCCCCGGCCTTATAGAGGCTATTTGCCAAATATGACACCTTAAAGCCAAATTTTTATTTCTCCAATCAATCATTAAAGACTTAAAAGTATTTGTTAAAAAAAATTTCGATCTTCCAAAAAAAAAGATTAAAAAATTGCGAAAATAAAACTATTTTGAACTCTGAAGAAGAAACCAGAGGCCGAAATTTATTTTTAACAAAGGGGTAATGGGTCTCAGATTAAGCCTTTGTCATTTTTAGCATTTTTTGTATTTCAAATGTAATTGCATATTTAGTAATTTCAAACGAAAGACGTTATACAAAACTTCAAAATTAAAAAAAATCCTTTAAAAGTTATGATAAAAAAGCAAGGCTATAACATTTATTTGTTGTGGTTTTGTAATTTGTTCTATGCATTTTCTCAAAGTATTTAACCACAGTTTCAAAAAAGTGAAATTCATTGAATATAAATTTTTTTGTTGGTAGCAGTTAACAGTATATTTTATTTACTTTCTCCTCATTTCAAAATCAACATTTTTCAGAATGAAGTTTAATAACAAACATTTTTGTAAGGAAGTAAAAATATCGTTTCAACTTAAACGATAGAAGATCCAATGAAACATTTTATTGCAATCTGTTGCATACGAATTGAAAAGCACAGAGCTCTTTCGGAAATTATTTCTCCAATAAAAAATCAATTGAAAAGAACAAAAACTGAAAACATAACTTTGTATCTAAAAATTCAACAAATACCACTTCCAATCCTTGTATCTTTTTTTTTAAAAGTCTTATGTACCATATCTCAAAAATGAAGCGAACCGTTCGTTTTTATAAAAAATAAAAAATAAAAAAACATTTTACCCCTTTTTTTAAAAAAAAATTTCAAAGAAAAAGTCTGATCAAGAAGTCAAAAAGTAAGGGAAGAAATGGTAGAAAAATGCCACCGGCTCATACAACACAAAGATAGGGGTGAATCGAATACAGAAGAGGGGGGTGTCCAAAAATCAATCGTTTGCCTCAGTCCGCCGCTTGCTGCGCTATCGTCCAACCTAATAGGAGGGATACCAACGGATTTCATCCTTAGAGAGCATCAGGCTTCGTCCACGAAATTTCCTCTTCCTCATCTTTCTTATTCAAATTTTCTTACTACAGAAAGGAGTTTTTCTAACATATTTGTTTTCCCGCCAAAAAGGGAAATTTGTTCTTCGCGCGGTTTTTTTTATTGTTTTTTCGACCAACAGCTGACGGTTTTTTGATTAGTGAGAGCTGAATGAATGACTTTTTAACAGTAGATAACTATATGATTCATTTTGCGATGAATATTCTTAAAATAGTTTTGCTTCCGATATATTTTGAGAAAAAGAATTGAATAATCTGTCATTTCCAGTTTTCGTAGCCAGGTAAGTTTTCTTTCCTATTTAACTATTTCTTTATTTTTATTGCTTTTTTTCTATTTTATTATATTGTGTTTTGTTTCACTTTATTATATTCTACTTTATTACATTTACATTGTTTTATTCTATTTTACTTCGCCGTTATTTTATTATTTTTTCTGACCAACAGCTGATGGGTTTTCGATTAGTGAGAACTGAATCTATGACTTTTTAACTATAGATAACTATGTGATTAATTTTGAGATGAATATTCTTAAAATAGCGTTGCTTCCGAAATATTTTAAGAATAAAACTATATGATATATAATTTCTAGCTTTCGTCGTCTGGTAAGTTTTTTTTTCCTGTGCAACCACTTTTGTTTTAAGACATAATTATTATTATATTTAATGCATTTAATATATATCATTTTGTATAAATGAATTAAAATTTCCTTACGCTTTTTTATTCGAACTAATGTATAATAATAATTACTTATTATAAATAACAATTTATAGTAATTATCTATAATCAACACGTAGCAATTATCCATAAATAACAATATATAGATTCTTTCACAGCGAAACAAAACTATTTGCAATTGATAAACGAGTAAAAAAATATTTATTAATAAACAAGTTTTCGAGCAATAAAGTGAAAGTTGAGTTTATATTAATGAAAATCTTATCTTTTGTATGTAATATTCACTAAAACATTAAAATATTAGCGTTCATTTAATATTCTTAGTGTATATTTTTGCAGCATTTAAAACAAAGCCCCCTTACTATGTGACTAAACATCTTCTAGAAAGCTTTCAAATGTTCAATAGTTTTCCATATAGAGGTGGTTGAAACTTCTTAAATTTTCCTGATCAGGAAAGCTGGTGTATATATATTACATTTATCTGATTCATCAGAAAATCATTAAAAAAATTTAAAAATTTAAAACAAAAATTATTTTTTAAAAATATTAAAATCGAATCTTATACTCTCGTTAAATTTGAGAAAGTGATTTATGTTTTTTCTAGCACCTTTCAGATAGATGTAATTGGTAAAGCACGAAAAGTTAATGAATTCCAACACGTTCTGAAACACGTTGATTAATCCTCCCAATCTTTGATTAATCTTAACCTCAAACAACATCCTCATTTCTATCGACAATCAGCAAAAAACAACCTTCGACAGTCATTTTTTATAACATCTAATAAAATGGTTTAATTATAAGCGTTTATGGGAAAACGAAGAAAAAAATTCTAATAAATTTATCGCACTGTATGGGTAATGACATTTCTGGAGAAAAAAAATTCAGTAAATATTAATAGAATCAATATCTTCGGTATTAAAACCATTAATTTGGTAATTTTTCCTGTCAGATCACAACTGCTTACCGGAAACTCTAGTTTTTATTACCACACATTTAGCAAAAAACAAAAAATCAAAAAGTTAATTTAATTGTATAAATGGTTTTTAAGCCAAGTTATAAGGTATCGTGATAAAATTATCAAATTTTACCTTATTTACCAAGTTTTTATCGCGTATTATAAAACTATATTTTATTGTTGTTTTCGCCAAAATCATTACCAATGCTTTACTAAGCTTTTTGATACTCCCATAGAGCCAGAAACACTCTATATTTTACCATATTCTGGTAATGTGGACCATACTGTTTTTCTCGGTGAAAGTTCGGTAAGTTTAGAAAACATATGCGTTTTCACTGATTTTTCGAAATAAAAATAAGTTAAACTCAATTTTTTTAGTTCATTTCTTTGGAATTATGCAGGATGACTTCTATGGAATTATTCTTTAAAATAATGCATGTGATTTTCCAACCATTCAGAAACTAACAAACTTCAATTTCAATAGAAAAACTATCATTCAAGAAGGTATGCAATTAAAAAAATAGAATCTGCTAAGCTTTTTAGAATACTCGCGTTTATCAGTTAATATAATTATTTAATTTTAAGAAAAAAGTATTTCTTGCTTACTATTATATTTTAATTAAAAGATTTATTATAATAAAACACACAAATTTATAAAAGACGCAACATGTTAGTGTTAAGTATTACACACAGTATTGTACACCGTAAAGAAGAACAACACTATTATGAAATTTTGTTAGTAATAATTAACAGTAAAAATTCTTAAATCTATCTAAATTATACTGTTTTGGAGTATGGAGAATTTGCTGCAGTCTGAATAAGGTACTAAAAGGAACCATATTATTGAGAAAATTGATGTTTCCTAAATTCGATAACAGAGCATTATTGTTCAACTTCAACTCGGTTGATTTTAACATCTTATTAAAATTGTAACAAATTTACACCACATTATGATTTAACGTTGCATCACTGTTTATGACGGTGTAGTTTGTTTGTATTGCAAAAACCATTAAAAGGGAGCGAGGCAAACAATACTTTTTTTACTTTTGTAGTTTCACAATACTTTTTTAGTCTGTTTCAAGCAAGATCGTAAAGTATTAATCAGTAAAGCTATTCAGTAAAGCTAAAAATTAAAATCTATTTTATTAAATATTGTTAAAAAGCGTTGTCATACGTAAACTGAGAAAAATTATGGTCAAAACTACCAACATATGGTAAACTTCACCCTGTCCATAACTCTATGGGAACACCGAAAAGCGCTCGGTAGCGCTTTGGTAATGATTTTGGTAAATTTAACAGTAAAATGTGGTTTTATAATTAGTGGTAACATTTGGCAAATATGATTTAATTTGGTATTTTTATCATAATATCTTAAAACTTGGCATAAAAACTATTTATTCGGTTCAGTTTTGTTTATTTTACTCAATGTATGGTAACAAGAACTAAAATTGTGAGAACCTGAATTTCAAGTGAATCATGAGCGGAAGAATTGCCAATTGAAGGGTTTAAAAACCGTATATTTAGGTTTTTATTAAAAAAATTTCATTAACATACAGTTTCATAATTTTACCAAAATCGTTTTATCCGTCTAGTTATAAAATAATTTTGGTAATGTTTCTCAAGCAAGTTATTAAAGTATTCATTATAAAAGCTATTCTACTCAATCTGAAATTTAAAATATATTTTATTATGTAAGTGTTATGAAAAATATTGTTATGCGTAATAAGAATATTTTTAATAATATATATATATATATGTATTTCTTTTGTGCCCTAACATAATCTATGGTATTTTTCTATCTAAGTTAGCAACGAATATTTTGATTAATTACAAAGCAATTTTTAATAGTTAACACTTCGTCTTCAAAATTAACTAATGAAGAATTTAAGCTTTAGATATTGTCGTATCTGGACAATCGAAAACTTGTTTTATATTAATTGGATATCTGCAAGTGACGTAGTGTGGGTATCTCGATCCTGATTGGTTGTTGAAACGTGTTATTTGTTTAAGATAGCAACTGTTCTTTCCATTCTATTGCGAGCAGACCAAGCCTGTGAAGCATTCTATAGTCTTTCACAAATATGCAGTACTTTTACTATATATTTCTTACCTGACACAAAAACAGGCATGAAGTCATGTAGAACATAAACAAAAATATGCAGCGAAGTTGCCAGGTACACAAAACAAAAGTATATCAAGCTTATAATAAAATATGTAAACAAACAAAAAAAATCTAAGGTAAGTAAAAGACGTAAATAAGAAAGAATTATATTTCAGCAAATTTGACTTTGCTATACAGCACTGCATTCAATTAACTTCGCGTTAATTAACATTCTAACTTATGTGGAGCAACTTAGCTCAACTTTAATATGACATTTTGCTTATAAATGATCAACTGGCGCTGACGTCATAGATCACATGTGTTGGTATGTGTGATCTTCTTCTCCTTGAATTTCAAGTACCCGATTGTGAGACTTTATGAAAGAATAGATGGAAATTTAAGTCGTAAGTTAATTATTGCTCAACTTTATAAATTCGCATCATATTTGAACGCTTTTATAGTTTCATGCTAGCTAATTTGACAGTGAAATTTTCATGAAAGGATCCAAACTTTTGACTGATCTTCTGCTTCTGCAATTGGAAACATATTTTCCAGATTTTGACTAAACCTTAATTTCAAGATCAAGAATCCAAATCTGTCAAAAAAGGATAAGTTTATTAAAAGAAAGTACGTTTTTCCGTCTTATTGTGTAAAATATTGTCTGCCGAAACATTTAATCATTTGCATCATAAAGATTGCATTTTAGTATTACACGGAAATCAAATCATTAAACAAAAAGTGATTATTTTTCCGCAATTTTTTCATAATTATTTTTACGCACTGCACTCTAGTGTATTTATATAATTATTTTTTTAAGAGATATGTTTTAAACTTATGTTGCATTGAAATTTAACTTCTTATTTACTCACATTACTATGTTAACATTTTCACTTGCTTGGTATCTAAAACAAAAATATCTTTCATTGTTACATTTATAATGCATGTACACTTAATGAATCTAAAACTCACTTAATTAAATAATCAATTGGATTATGTTTCTCAACGTAAGAGCCTCTTGGTTGTATCGTATTTTAATTAATTAAACTTAATGAACTACTTGAAAATTCAGTAGCATATAATTGGATTAATTACTTTATGCTTTAAAGATGAAGAATTCATTTCAGATTTGTGGACAGTTCAAATTCTTCTAGCAATACATTTAGAAATAAATCTAGATCTTCAATTTAATGTAACATAGTAAAATAAACAATACAATGTAATCATAATTACATTTTGTTTTTATCATGTTATATTTATAAAAATGATCGTGATCTAATCTACATTTTCCTTTTATCATCTTGTATTTATAAAGATAAATAAAATATTTAAAATATTATTTCTTATAAATTCGCAATTCACTTAATCAACGTTTACTCAACATTAATGAATTTTTGAAAAACATCATTCGTTCAATTTTAGTTTAAACGAAATACTTTATTTGTGAGAATAAATATTAAATTTAAAATTTTGGTGAAATTTTATTTAAAAAATATTAAAATTGCACATTTTATAAATCACGCTTCATAAATATGTTTAAATAATAATATTGC